AATCCTCAATACCACTAGAAACCAACATTTTAGGTCTGAGATGCTGGGATCAGAAACTGCTCAATGCTGCTTTTCCCTTCACAGTCCAGCATAATGTGCTCAACTGCATGCATTCTCTATGCTTTGTGCTAATTTGGAGCTTTGTAAAAGGAACCCAGTACAAAAATATTAGTAATAAATAAAATTATATGGGCATCTTTTCTCTTCTTTTCCTTCCCACCTTGGCTTTTCACTACAGAGCTGCTTTGGTGTCTGACCTCGGCATTTCTTTGTCAAGACTGGGAAAAGTACATTGCAGTGACTTAGTGATGACTGTTCATTCAAACCGGGTTGTCTTGTCTTGTAATTACCTTGGAAGGATCAGTGCCTTAAGCGTTAATGTTTCTCATAGTATCATGGAGTTCCACTGACTGGCTGGAAACAGTAAATCATGAATTAGTTTTAGAGTGAATCAGTTACTGCAACCTTCCCAGCCTAATAGGTTGAGGACAACTCCCAGAATTTTTCAGAAGGATGGCTGGAATTCTGAGAATTGACCTAGCACATCTGGAAGGCACCAGGGAGGGGAAGGATAAGTTATTATTATACAGGGAATACTTGCAGAAGGCTATTTGACCCTCTCCTTAAGGTCATAGTGGAGGCATCCATCTGGCTACTGTGGGAATTAAGATGTTGGACTAGGTGGACCCTAGTGATCACAATGCTGGACTAGAACTGGTCAGGTTTGGATTCCGACTCAACCACTGGCTCAAAGTGAGCTCTTTGGCTATCTCATAGCCTCACAGAGTTACTGTAAGGAGACAATGGGAGAAGGGAGAGACAGGAAGGGAAAGTCATGGCTTGGGTTCCTTGAAGAAGACAGTATATAAAATAAATTCAGCAGGCCTCATCTTACATTTTGAAGTATTTATGGTAGAGGCATGTTTTAGAAAGTTGGGGACAGGGTGTATTTCTTTCACTATGTTTTAGAACGTATGACTATACAACAGAGACTTCTATTTCTACATCCTAACCAGGGCTACTAAAAAGGCTGCTTATTTGTTTTGTACTGAGAACAGTGTTATAGTCCCTGTGAAATATTTAATTTCCCTTACTTCTTGTTGGCTGAAAGCTTTTTGTAATTCTGAATGGTAGCAGATGTTTGATCAAGAGTTGTTTTATATAATCAATCTGTTAAAAATAAGGAAATCAGTAACAGATTTTATCTTATTAGTGAGCTATGAACTGAACATTTTAAAAAATTAACAAGTCCACTGTACGTCCGTTGTGGAATTATTTTAAAGAAGTAGGCTGATAGGAACAGAGGAACTTGCCTTATTCTGATTGGGTCTGCAGATCATGTGAAACTGATTTGTTTAACCATGATTTATTGACAACCACAGCTGGCTAAAGCCTTAAACCAAGGTCACAAATCACAGTGGCTGTGTCAGCATAATATGCTAAGTGAAATCCAAACTAATCCACTTAGCACAGTGTGCAAGTCCAGCCACTAAGTCAGGCTGTTGGTCCATCTAGTATATCAATGCTATCTACACTGACTGTCAGCAGTCTCCCAAGATTTTCAACTCTACCTGGGAGAGCCAAGCCACCTCTAATATCCCAGGGACAGCATTTTCATATCGCCTGACTGAAATGCAGGGTGTGCTAATGAAATCAGTTCACAGACTAAGCTCCCATTCCTTAAGATTTATATAAATCAACTGACCTACATTCCTGTCTGAACCATTATGATGCTGTTTATAAAGAAAGATTGAACCATATGACCAGTCCTTTGCGCATGTAAGTTGTTGGGTGGGGGCAAGCCAGCTGAGCCTTTTTACCGAAACCTATGACATCTTCATCTCTTTGACAACAAAACAGCTCTATTTAAAAGGGTGCTGTAAGAGCAAGGCAGGCTAGACAAAACCAAAATGCCATTGAGCCTTGTCCTTGATAGGATAGTAGAGACTCATCACGCAGGATGAAGGAAAAGCATAAACATATTGGGGGGGGGATTAATTCCATGGGAAGGAGCCACAACAGAAATGCTTATTCTCAGGATTATCCCTTGTGTTGTGTTTTGTTCTGAGTGAGCTTTCAGCCAGGGCTGGATAAGCAAAAGCAGTTCAAGTACAAGGTAAACAGATGTCCTAGCTTAGAGGCACTGACCTAGCTCTAACAGACAGCTCCTGGGTCACAGAGTTCTAGTGAAATCAGGCTTGTGTGTTGATTTCAGTAACCTCAAATAATCAGGTGATGCCTCTTTTCCTGGCCTTTCCTCCTATTGTACCTGAGAGCGCTGTGCTTGCTCAAAGCCTAGATCACTAATTTTAACTAAGGACATGGCAGAGGCTGTGCATTCCAAAAGTACATACCAGGACATTGCAGTCTATCAGACTGCGGCACAGAATATTCTGTAAACCAGGAAAGATGACAGTATGCCTGGCCCAAGAGTTAATGCAAGCAAAAATGGTATAATTAGGTTTCAGTCTCATTCAATGGTTTTGGGGTTCACTGTAGTTCAGCACTTGAATGGCAGCTGAACAACAACAGCTGTGATATTCTGTGACTGGGGATGGCTACTGTGAAGAAAATAAAAGGGACCTCTACCTGTGGACCTTCTTTGGAACAACTAATACAAAATGGAGGCTGTACAGTAATATACATACTCCCACCTTTGCAGCTCTGTCCTGGTCTTTCTGTGACAGAAATGTTAGCAGTTGATGAGAAAAGTATTCACTTACTTGCTGTCATCTTTTACAGCAGTTGTCAGAACAAAATAAAATACAAAATAAATGAAAACAACAATATATACCAGTATCTTAAAAGCCTAAGAGAACAAACATATGCCTGGTTCTACAATGTTGACAAGTCCCCTTAGAGAAGCACTTTCATATTCAGGGAGGAAAAAGCACTAGCTAGAATGGATTTACACTCTTAACTAAGGTATACTGTGCCTTGTTTCTGGCTTAGCATGTTGTGTGAGACAGTACATTGGTTTATAAATTCTGGTTTATAATATGCTGTGTGAACTCAGCCAATTGTGGCTTATGTGGCTCATACCTTATGTGTAAATTAAGTCTTAGCGTACCTTGCAATGTCTCACTACACAACTAAGCAAAGAACAGAGCAGTAGCTTTTTTTATTGTGATTGAGGGAAACTGAATGTTCTTTGGAAGCTTATCAGAGGCTCTTAAATGAGAAAAATTAGTAAATGTGATACAGTTCCTGAAAAAACAGTTTTTTTACAATCAATTACCACCTCCAAATATATTGTGGATAAAGAAAAGAATGTGGTCTACAGCAATGGTGAACAGCTTTATGGGATCCATTTCGTTTTTTGACTAGACAATTGATTAGCTCAGGGCAGAATTAGTATTGTTAATTATGCACTAGACACTAGGGCAGGGTGAACAATACTTGGCCTTCCAAATGTTCAGCTACAACTCCCATCAACTCTCCCAATAGGCCCAAGGATGACAATGCTGGGAGTTGTACTTCAACAACATGTGGAAAGCAACAGGTTGCCTACCCTACACCTGAAAATATATGCAAGTCAAATGTCAGTTTGCAGAGATCAGAGACCTATAACATTATAAAGCCATCCACAGAGCTGAATAATACCATTATTTGCATAGCAAAACCAGATATGACACACATTTCCACCACGTATTCTGAATATAGTCACACTATCTAGCAAAACTGTCACAGAGGGTTTTTGAAGGCTGAAAAGGCATCCTATCAACCATCAGAGTTATTTCTCTGTGTCATAAATCAACTATGCAAGGGTATCAACAGAATTTCTCATTTCATTTAAGCATAAGCTACACCTCTAATATTTTTTGCCTTTGTATAGTTAAAATATAGTAAACAGTGTAGTATAATATGTAATTGAAGTCATTATTACAACCCTAAGAAATGCAATTCTTTACTGTCAACTTTCTGTAAATATAAACTTAATCAAATTACACATGGCCTAGACAAAACAATTAGGTGTGAACTCTCTGGACAGCCATATTCTTGCATTAAACAAAGGGTTGGATTGGATGGTCTAAATGACTGCTTCCTTTTCTACAGTTCAAATTTTATCCAGAGACTCAGGCTTATAATTTTTACTGTCTACTCTCTGAACTAAAAGCTCCACTCATTTACACTCCTATGCATATTTTCCAACTCAAAGTCTGCTGGCCAGGTTTGAATTCCAAAAGAATTAAGGTGCAACATAGAATTCTTGTTCTATGTTATGGCTCCCAAGGACTACATTTCCTGTATTTTCTGGCAAAGCTTGATCAGTCCCACCATCACACTTTTCTCATGCCTGCTTGTAGGGATGTGAGAACACAGGAATCACTTGTTCTGGAGACCATCTTTTGATGGGTCATCTTGAAACTTTTCATTGTAGTCCTTTCCACATGCCACTAATCTTATTGAGACGTTTTGGTCTGCTTTCAGCAAGTGTACCATACATGCCCATTCGCACAAATACATGGCACAAAGCTATACGCGTTTATATCACGGCATGATGTAATGACTGACATACACTAATGACAATATACTTGTGTTAGTAATATTGATACATCGTTCGTTATTGTGGCTACATGTGGCTAACATTCTGACACACTCATTTGCCTAATTCCTACTTACCGAACTCAGCGAGATTTATTACTACTGAGTTGACATGATGTGGCAACTGAAAAAGCGATTTCTCCAGAACTGAGCAATAAAACTTCATCACACTAACCTATTCATATGGAGAGCTAAACCTCATTGCAATCAATAAAAGAACTTGCGGCCCCCAGCGGTCCATACCGCTACTAGTGCGTAAATACTAATACATATCAAACTCTGGGGGGCTCACCTCCACGCATAACACCGGGATGCAACCACCTGAACTGAACCGTAAAACAAACTTGCCTGAAACCCGATCCCGAGAAAGAACCCGGCAGAGGCGCACGAGGCCAGAGGAATTACTTCCGGTCTTCGCGTCTGCCCTACTTCCGGGACTTTGTCAGGCGTGCTGCCTGGTTGCTGTGGTAACGAAGAAGCGGAGAGACTCGTGGCGGGGGGTTGACAACTTTCGTTGCTTTCCTGGCTCCGTTTGGGGGTGAGTTCGTGTGGGCCCTTGCCACCGGTGGCCTTGCCGTTTCTTCCGTGAACACTGTGTTCTTGCATCCGCACGACATGCTGCACCCTAAACCCGCCGGCCCCACGGGCTGAGTACGGACAGTGCGCGTGGGGCCGTGGTGTGCCTGGCCCGTTTGTTCGTCGTATGAACACTGTCACTGAGTCAAACCATTATTTCTCCATTTAGCAGCTTTCCACAGGGGGAACTCTTCCCCAGCAATGCTACTCAAGACCTTTTAAAACAGAATTGCCAAGGACTGAATGTCTATGTAAGAAAATGCAGGTTTCAGCCACGTGGGAAATACTTGGTGGTTCATTTGCTGAAACTGCGAAGCCTCATCATTAGGACCAAGCATAATATATGATGGCCTAAACATAAGAGTTTCTAGGAAAGGAGGAGCCGGGTGCCTCTCTGCACAAGCTGTACCTAGGAGTTGGCATTGCTAGAAGCGAACTCATAAATCTTACACAAACATTCAGTTGGGTCTTTTTACCTTCCGGTGTTCTTGTTCAGCAACTGAATTTAAGAAGGGTGGGGGAGATAGGAATCTTCTGTTAAACAAGTAGGAGTCAGTAAGCTCCCCAAGTATAGCAAATTATCCTGAGACATCTACACCAAACTCTCAGAGATCTGTTGGTAGATTCATATAATTTATCCCTCCTTCTGCTGTATACAAAACATGGGTTCTGTTGCTGAGTTAGCTTCTTCCTTGACAGTAGTATTATCTCTTGTTGGACCTACTGTGTAGAAAAGGGCATGAGGCAAAAGGATCAGAAGAGGAAAATGAGCTGAGGGAATTGGAATTTCCTTGTTTCCCCCTTTATTTGTATTTTTAAAGGGAAATAATAGATTCTGCAATCAGAATTGCACTTGAGGTAGATAGTCCTTTCCCCTTCAGCTACTTCTCACACATTCATTCTTTTAGAAAATAATTGCCCTATTTAGATAATACTGAGGGTGAACATTGAGTTATGAAACTCTACAACTAATTTTAATCCTGTGAAATGTACTTCTGGATTGCATTAACCTTACTAAACAATATGACATTTCATGAATTATAGAATGTAAAAGTTTGAAGAGACCTTAGAGATCATCTAGTCCAACTTCCTTCCAGTGCAGAAACCCAATACTGCAGTACCCTTGACAGAGGGCTAACCAACCTCTGTTTAAATATTTGCAGCATAAGAGAATCCACCTCTTCCCTCAGGCAGCCTGTTCCATTGTTGAACATTTCTTACTATTTGGAAATTTTCCTGATGTCTAACAAGAATCTGTAATTTGAGCCTGTTGTGTCTTGTTCTGTTTTCTGGAGCAATACTGGGGTTTAAAAAAACCCTACCCTCTCTTCTAGATGTCAACATTTCAGATATTTGAAGACAGTTATAATGTCAACCTGCAATCTTCCCTTCTTCAAAATAAACATACTCATCACCTCCAACTATTCATCTTAAGTTTTTCATTCTGAGCCCCTTATCATTTTGATTGCTCTTTTCTGTACATACTCCAGTTTGTCAGTGTCTTTCCTAAAATGTGGTGCTCAGAACTGGACACAATATTCTAGATTTGACCTGAGCAAGAATGGAGAGAAATTGTGACTTCTCTTGACATGATACTATAGGTCTGTTAATGTAGCCTATGATTGCATTTCTTTTTCTTTTTGCAGTAGCATCACACTGTTTGCTCGTCTTCCGGTTATAATCACAATATCCAGATCATTTTTGCATGTATTCATATATGGCCTTCCCTATACTCATGGCTTTATTTTTTTCTATCCAAATGAAGAGCATTACATTGTCCTTGTTGAAATTCATCTTGCTTGTTTCCGACTGTTGTTCCAGCTTGTTGGGATCCTCCTGAATCCTGATGCTGCCTTCTATTCTTCTATCTTTGTGCCATCTGTATATTTGATAATCGTATTTTCTAATCTCATGTTAGAATAACACAGGACCTAGAATGGAACCCTATAATATAGCACTTGACACCTCATTCCAGCTTTATGTGAAGCCATTGGCATACACTTATCTGAATCAATTGAATATTAGTTCTGAATCTATCAAATGATAGCATACTCAGCTCATATTTTGCAATCTTTTCTTGTAGGATCTCATGGAAGATTTTGTCAAATGCTTTGCTGAAGTCAGGTATACTATGTTTAGTGCATTCCCATATTAAACTAAAGTTATTATATCAGAAAAGGAGTTCAGATTGGTTTGTCACAACTTGCCCTTGATAAACGTATGCTGGCTCTTGCAAAGCAATATGTTCCTTTTAAAATGCTGACAACTAACTGTTTAAAAATCTGTTTCAGAGTTCAATCAGGGTGACTGGTCTGTAGTTACATGGTCTTCCTTTTTCTCCTTTTTGGTAAAAAGTCATTTCTGAAGGCAGAAAAAACATTTGCCTTTCTTCAGTCTTCTGCCATTATGCACCTTCTTCATGATTTCTCCAAGATCACAGAAAGGGGCTCCAAGGAAGAAAAGGATGAGCATGTTACTTGAAGAAAATGGTAAGATAGTAATAGATGAAACAAGAAAGAGAAGAGCTTCACAGTTTCTAGTTTATTTGGTTTTTTTCTTGAATGGAAGCTCTGTCTAAATTGACCTAAGCAGAACAATTGACATAAGGAGGGAGTGGCAACCCATGGTAAATAAAGAGATACCATTAATGAGTTTAAGGTTCCAGAACCAAACCAATTACATCCAAGAGTCCTGAAGGAACTTTATGATAGAAGCCTTGGAGTCCCTTTCTGTCAAAAGAAGTGTACTAGTCTGACTGGCTTTCTTCTGTCTTTACAAGACTTCTTAGTACTCTTCTCCCTCAGAAAGTACTTTTTGTGTTCAACCTAAGAATTCCTCAGCTACTCTGATAGCCTGGAGGTAGACCATTGTGCCTCCACCCCCTTCATTTTCTTTTCCAGGTGGGAAGTCAGCCTACATTTGCAGCATGTGTAGTTCTTGTCATCTTAGGAAGGAACACAAACATGGCATTTAACCCTGCAGACCATGGGAGCAGTTCTTTCTGCCTTCTCACATGAACAGAAGAAAAAGAACCTCACTGTTCTGGAATCCCCTAATTTATGTTTATTTTGTGTGTTTGTTTATTAACAGGTTTTGTGGCAGTTCTCTGATATTCTTTCAAACCTACAGAAAGAAATGGATCGACATATACCTGTGTATCCTTTACCAGAAGAAATAAGAAAGGTATGCTCTTGCAAGAAAATGTGGTGGGGTTGGGTTTTTTCTTGCAGTTATTATCAAGCCACTATTTTATATACATTTCTGTTTAATTTTTGCCTCTTCCTGCTTAATTCTAATACTAGCATGATTTTTTGTACGTGTACATTCTGCTACTCTTGAAAAAGTAGTCTTACATTTAAAAAAAAATGGAATCAAATCAACCTGTATCTTTTCCTAGCTGCCACCCCCCGGTGAAAAAATGAAAAATCTTGAGGGTGGGGAGGAATGCTGAAACAGACAGATATATCTTCTGCTAAGAGATACTGTGAAATTAAAGGGCTTGATAACAAGAGAATACTGGAAAGTTGGCCAGGCAGAGGGGTAGAATGAATCTCATGTCCACAAAATTACAGGTATGCTTTATTTTTTTTCATGAGTCAGAAAATTTTTCAGAGAACATTCAAAAGTCCAAAATTAATATTGTCAGATCACAGAAAGCAACACAGACTGTAACAGACTGTGGAAAATAACTGGCTTATAACTGAGAAGCTTTATAAAAGCATATGAAGCTAGTGTCCCCTGACTTTAATTGTATTAATTAACTGTATTAAAATCTTCAGTTAATTAATACAATTAATGTCAAGGTACATTATGTTCACATGTTATACAGATATAAACACAGAAATTCTGATCTTTTTGTATGGTTAGTATCTCCCTCCACTGCTAGTGTAGGGAAGAAGTATCAGCTTTGGAAGTTCTATTTATGCTTGTGGAAAGTTACAGGGCACAAATTTATTTGGCTGTGATTTTCCAACAGCATTAGCTTCTGAAAAAGGATGGGGCAAAGACAGAATTGGGTCTGGTTCCACTGCTTCTAATTCCTCCCTGTTGCTGTGTAGAATCTGGAGTAAACTCATATCCACACCATTAATTTTAGTGAGGTATGTATTTTTAGAAGTTTCCTGAATGAAAACCTCAGCCACACATATTTACTGACATGTCATGTATGGGCCAGCAGGCCTCTTCAGAAGCAGTAGATTTTCTTCAACCTGATCAAGTATTGCTCAGGAAAGTGTTAATGATTCAGTATTTTTTTTGTTATTCCAAATAACATAACAAAATAAAATAGTATTACAAAAATATGCTATTCATATGATGAGATTAATTTGTTATGTTTTCAGATATAAATCATGCAGTAAAATACGGTCATTCTTAACTGCTTTGCTTTTCAGTATTTGCTGTTTTCAGAAATAAAGCAATGACAATCACGTATATCAAGCCTGTGAGACTGGCAAACCGAGGAAACAAGAACCACTTGCATTTCTGGAAACATTGTTATTGCTAATAGGGGAATGTAACAAAATCTTGAAAGCCTAGGTATAAACTTCAATTTATACCAAGCATAATTAAGGTGGAATTACTCTGAGTCTTTTTCTGTTGCTTTCCCCTTCCCCTGGGCTGAGGTGCCACACACTCCTGTTTCTTCCTCTGCTTTCCCAGGGTCTGTTAGACATTCCATCACATTTATCTATGTGCATGACACTCCATTTGGTTTGATTTGGTTACTAAGTTCTTGAAAAATGTTTCACAATCTGTTAGATGACTGAGAGCAGACACAATTAAATCTCAAGTAATATGCATTCTTAACTAGGGAATAACATCCCTTTGAACTCAGTGAGATTTATCTTTCATTTCAGTGGAACTTAGTTTAAATATAGTATTGTCAAAATAGATAAGGTGGCTGAGTGTAGAGAATAAGAAAAAAGGAAAATAAAATTCTTGGAGAGTAAGAAATAGCAAAAATAACAGCCAAAATGTACAAGTTGTATATTTGAAGAGGAGCAACCCCTTTGATTATTTTTGACTTTATAACATTTCATTCTGTTCCCTATTCATTTTCTACATCTCTCGGGAAAAAAAAGTCTCACAATGGTTATTTGACCCAATAGTACTTTTATATGAAATCCTAAACTCAGTTATTAGGGAGTGCAATTTTATTTCTAAGTAAACTTGTATCAGCTTGCAGTGTATAGTCATTAGTACAGAGAGTGACAGCTTGATAGAAATCAACAAGAGTCACAAGGCTCAGTGCCACAAGGCATCTAAAGTTAGCCCTGGCTTGCAACAGTATGCTTGTGGAATTTAAATTGTGACAAAGGTTAGATAATCTTACTCCTCCCCACACAATATAGCATATGTAAAGGATAGTTATTAAATAATGTGATGTCTTTAGTACAGTATTGCTATTTCTTATACCATTGTTTCATGCAGGTAGGTATATTTTTTTGGGTTCTCATGACTCTTCCTCTTCATAAGACCCTCTGTTTGGTACTCTAAGAGCAAAAGGCATGATCTCCCTTCTCTAATGCCCCTATTAATTAATTATTCTTGTTGTTATCCTTGGGTGCCCTTTACTTAGCAATGTACTGCTATCTTACTGATACTAGGGCTGAGGGAGAGTGACTGACCCAAAGTCACTTAGCTAGCTTCTGTTTATAAGAGAGGACTAGAACTTGGGTCTCTCTGCTCCTAGCACCTTAAACACTATATCACACTGGTTCTCTTTTTTATAATATGAGCCATTCTAAATAAACATTTATCTAACTATAGAGGAAGCCAACACAGAATTCTGAAAATAGTATTTATAGCTTAAAAGTATAAGTACAACAGTTTGTAGAAGTATATAATATAATGGACTACAGTGGTTTCAAATTATATTAAATATATTAATACTGTAAAGGATTGCTCTATCAACATCTGTCAGTCATGGTAATTCACCATGGTACCAAAATGACACATCTCTATATACAGCAACCAAATACTTCTGACTATCAGATGTACAACAATTAAAGGAAATCACTCTATGATGGATCTATGCTCATTACTTTTATTTAGAAATCATAGGAAGAGACTCAGCTAAAGTTAAATATAGATATTCTGTGGTAAAGTGTTCTGTTTTTTAAAACAATTCTTAGCATTTCAAATCATATTGCATTCAAAGAGCAGTGATACACTTTTGTCTTCTGTATGACACAATAAACATGGAGGAATAATATCCTGATAATAATATAGTCCAGTTATTCTGCATCCTTTGCTTTATATAAGTTTATGAGCATCCAGAGAAGGCAAAATAAGTTCTTGAAGGGCATATAGATGAGCATGTGGTTCTATTTCATAGCTGAAAGTTACTTGATGTGCTTTGTTCATGTTAAGAACTATGAATTTAACATTTTCAGATTTCCATATAGGTTCCAAATAGAATTGCTCACTATCCCATCCTTCTCCCCATACAGTCCAGTGTCTTGCTGAAACTAGATACGTATATTGGAATGTCTAAAATTGTTTATTTTGAAATACAGAAGTGGTGGTGCTGCAAGAAATCACAATGTTCTTTTTAGGATAACAGTCTCTCCCTTCCCTTCACATTACAGCTCAGTTTGTCCTCTTTCAATAAGTAATTTTTGGAACCTTATGGTATTTATTCTGAATAACAGTTTCATATTTCTGGGCACAGGTTGTAACTGCCAGGAAAAATAGAATTAATTTTTCATTTCCTTCAGAGCCACTGTAACTATGATCAGGCTTCATGAGGCAAAGAAGAGTTAGGAGAAATAAAAGCAAGCATAGCAAACCTGTTCATCTCGGGTGGATGCTTTTATTAGAAAATAGTTAAAATGTATATCATTGAGCCATGCCACTGGAATCCTTTATCAGCTTGTCTCATGAGTAAATCTGACTAGTGTACATTATTTGTGTTTTTCAAAACAACTTGATTTTCTTTCTCTTCCCTTTCATCCTTTTTGGTAGTATTTGAATATCTTTGTTCTCCTTTTCTCAAGAAGTGTTGTTATTTAATATCCATCATATCCATTCCCATTTTTTTGTTATTTTCTCCTACTCTCTTCTAATAGTTTAAATGTTTCAGTAGAATATAACATTAAAATAAATGTAGTACAGCAGGCATGTTTCTTTATTCAAGGAAATGTAATAGATTATATCTGCTATATTTTCTTTGATATACATTTTGATAATTTGACAAGCCCTTTTAACGTGTTTTGAAGGAAAGCAAATACAGTTATTTCATTTTAGTAAATCATCAATGTCTTAATATGCTGTGCAGTGACTTACCCTGTGGTTACCCTGTGATGTCCACTGGTTATTTTAAAATAATATGTCATAGAACTGCCAGCATGGATTACAGTATTGAACTAGGAATGGGGAAATTTAGCTTCAGGTGCCTGAAATAGCCATGAAGCTCATTGGTAACTTAGGATTTAATACTACTCTATCCTTCCCTTAGGAAACAAGAAAGTTGTTGGGAAGATAAAACTCAGAGTAAGAGAGACAAAAGTATTTATTGATTTAGAATATTTGTATTGCTATGCTGCTGCTCTTCATACTACTTTGAACTCATAGAAGAAAGATAGTAATACATAAATAAAGTCAATATTCACTCAACTTGGATCGTTTTGTAGAAGGCCTCTCCTTAGCTCCTACTTGAATCTCCCTTTTTTCTCTTCCTATCCTGTGTGTCATGTCTAACATTTAATGACTGGGCTTTTTTGTCAGTTTCAGGTAGCTTTTTCCATCACCTTACCCATACTATATATCTCATACTGCCGTGTCCACTTTTACTGAGTACAACTTGAATTGAATTTTAAATGAAGAGTGATACTTGGCTGCAGAAAGTCACTATAATGATTTTGTTATATTAGTCACCTTAGCTCAGAAACATCTCCCTGTTCAGAGGAAAGTTACCTTTCTTTGCCAGATGCTGGGACAAAGAAAAAAAAAAGACAGTTAACCATTACCATCTTCATTCATTTCTTAAAGTTAATAGGGTGAAAATCATGTGCTCAGGCCCCAGCTCCCTTTGTTTCTAATGTGAGCATGCCCTGTCCCTCATCAGTGGTCTTTGTCATATTGAGAGGTAGGATTTAAGAAGGTCTGCATGGTCAGCACATTAAATATGCTCAGCATATTAAGCTCTGAAACCAAGGAAATTGGCATGTAGTGACTGAGCCAGTATTCATATCATCCTGTCCATGTTGGGAAATGTATGAAGAGGGCTACGGTTATGTTTATGAAGTTCCAGAGGAATCTCACTGACTATTGAAAACCTTTGGTATGATCTGGTAGCATAGTTGAGTTTCTTTTAAGAATGTTTAAATTAAACTTTTTCATGTATGTTATATTATAGGTTTCTGTGTCACTTTCCTTCCATTGTGTAATTCAAGTTGCTATACACAGGATTTTCTGATGGTCACGAACCAGCTATAATCTGCTTAACTTTAGCAAGGCAATTGTAACATTCACCTTTAGACCAAGATTATTTTCACAATTCTATAGTTTCCAAAAATGTCATTCTTAGAAGTTTGAAAAATGTTGATTTAACCTTTTGTGTATGGGCCAGTACTAGTTCATTTGCTAACTGTAATTCTTCTTATGACTTTTTTTTTCCCCCCTCAGATGGGCTGCTTTTGGCTCTCTGGATTTGTTTGTTTGTTTAGAGTAAGTTGAAAGAGAACATCAGCCCTAGTGGAACTTTTTGGCAGTGTATATGAAATTTTGTCTGCTGCTCTGTTTGGTTTCTGTCTTGGTCCACAAAAACTATGACACTGATATTCTTGAATTAGTCCTGTGTGCTTCTTTAATATTTTTTCAGCATATTTTTATTGTCCATACTCCCTTTTAGGAATAATCAAAGCATTTGTGATTTATTGGATGAAATTAACAAAATGGACACTTTGTATGTATAAAATTGACAGAGCTTGTGAATGAAGTCTGTTTGTTTTTCTGCAATGCAACTCAGGTTCACCCAAACATGTAATTGTTTGCTGAAATATATCTTGCTTAAGAAGATTAATTATCTCACATCTACAAAATTTCATAGTTTCTGTGTGACTCATGACTCTGTGTGGCTTTTCATCATGTGATGCCTTCTCCAAGCATTATAATCTGTTCATGCTGAGGACCACAAATGTTCAAGCAAATGTTTATAGCAGCTTATTTATTAGAAATTATTTTTAAGTTTGGAGTTGCAGTTACTGAAAGGAGTCATAGTACAGAATGTTGAATAACTAATTTTAAGTAATCAAAGGGAAGTGTTTTATCCTTTAAGTTATATGATGTGTGAAGAATTGATGGAGAACTTTTCATAGCTTCTAGTCATTTTTAGCCAGGATTACAGGTTGGTTTATGTCCACTTGTTGTATGAATGTCACTGTGGTTGTTTTTCAGCCATCTTTCCCTGCTTTTTTATGACAACCTACAAGTGGCGAAAATAGAGTAGAAGATTAGATTGTATATTCAGTGTAGAAATTGCTTCTCCTATCGACATTCTAGTTAATACTGTGACTGAGTTGTAGATTACCATAGCTTGTAATAAAAGAAATAGAATAGGCTTACAAAACATATTTAATTTTACAAACGACAGATTTTTGCACAGACATTCTTTACTATTCATAAGCAGCAGGTGCTATTTCTGTTCCAGATCTTAAGCTATTTACTTATTTGTTAATAAATATTCTTAATATGTTATGTCAGGGTAAATATCTGTGATTTTAATTTTATCTCCCAAAGACATTATATCCATTGGGAGAATGGCTGTGGCCCAATTGTAGGGTGAAAATTTTGCCTGAATTTCCAGGGAGAATGGGTAAAAACTTTTGTGTGTTCAAGGGTAGGCTATCCTGTACCTTCAGATATATTGAACTACAAGTGTTAGAAATTCCATACAGCATAGGTACTGTAATGATAAGGAATTACACAGTTGTATTTTAAAACCTGTGGTAGAACACTGATTGTCCACCTCTGGAATAATGTGCTTTGTGGGGCATTATTCTGACTCCATATAGAAAATTTCTTTCATTTGATTAACTTTTTTTTACAAGGTCACTAGTTTTTTTTTCACTGTACATATTGCTTACTTTTTTTTTTAGATGTCCCGAGATGAGACAGTCTGTAAATATTGTGGAGTCAGTTATTTGATTCTTCATGAATTTAAGCTACTGGAAGAGAAAGTAAAAGCAATGGAAAAGAAGGTGAAGTTTTATGAGGGCAGTGTGGAACGGGAGAAAATACTGCAAGAAAAACTACAGTGCCTAAGTCAAGATTTTGAACAATGCACAGCAGCTAGTGAATCAAAAACAGAAAGGTTAGAACTTAGTATTCATTCTTGCTTTTCAAATTAACATGTCTGTTAATGTCATTCAGAAGCACGCACGCTTTAGCTGTTTTGCCAGACTCAGCTTGCATCAGATATAATTTCCAGCTGAATTCATGTTAAATAAATCATAGTTTGAGCTGTAATTTGGAAGCCAGTATTTACTACTTGAAGAAGCAGAAATGTAGTATGAACTGTGTTATTTCTAGTACTGAAATGATGGCTTAATGCGAAGTATGAACCATTATAATTTATAAGCATGCTTCATGGCTTGATTCATATATAACCAGGCCACCAGGGCTTATTCAGTAAACCATGGCTTAATATAATGCATGAACCCAGCCATTTTGTTTATCATAATAAGATATGAATGTAACTCAGTTACAACACTGGATTCTAAAATAGTCTTTTCATGATGGAGGAGACTTGTTTTTGTATAAGCAGTATCAGTTTTAAAAGTTCAGAGTGTGCAGAGCACTTTTATTATTTTAAGCAGTCCTTAAAACATACCTGTAAAGTAAGATAATACTATGAATAATTCCTTAGACTGCTTTTCTAGCCTTGATTTGCAGTGAAAAACATATTTCTACAATAATTCTATTTTTTTTTTCCTGAAGTATGTTAGATTGCTGTTTGATTTTTAAAATTTAATTTAATTTTGTTACTTTGATATCATAATCTAGAGAAATAATACCATCAAAAGCCTTTATTTGAGGAAGCAAGAAAGGGATAGCGTAAATTTACAGATCATGGATTCCATTGTGTGGCATGCAAGACAGGAATTGCAGGCCATCAATATACAAAGAGGAAACGTTTAAAAAGAATAAGTTTTGTGTGCATAAGATAAGAGGTTATTGATCATTTTTCTTGAATGTTCAGTATTCTGAGTCCAAATGCTCTCTGACAAATCAGCTGTGGATTTTTTTCCAATTCCCCAAGGAACAGCTCAAAGGTCCTTGATGGAAATAACACCTGAAGTTTATGGGAATGAGGAATGTCTTGTTGGGTAATGTGATACTAATTAATTAATTGATTAATAATTAATACTAATGTAATACTAAGGGACACCAATTTGGAACTTTCAGCTTTAGTAATTTGGCAATACATGAAGATTGGTGTAACTTTTATTCTAATTTGACAGAATTGTTAATTATACAGATTTAAAAAGGTTATTATTTTGTTATTAACTCTAGAGTTACAAGACTAGCAGGCTTCATTTGACAAATCTATGTGAAAATAGGAGTCCTGTGTTTATACATTGTGGATCTGTATACCTTTACCATTTATATTTTGTCTACTTCATATTAAAAAACTGTTTCATGTCTTTTGACATGGATGGCCCATTCAGGCTAGTACAAGCCTCTTGGATGAAAGAACTGTGTCATTGCCAGTGCTGTTGAAGTACACTTCCAACAACTTCTGGAGGGCTACTGTTTCCTACCCATGTCTTACGGTATTCCAAAACTTGAGATTTTACAAAGCTCACAAAATCTTATTTTAAATTGTTTGGCCTATTTTGAAACAAAACTTACTGAAATATAACATGAAACAGGATCACTCTCTTAACAGAGTAGTCTTTCGGCCAGTTAAAGCATTTCTAATTCATCCTCAGTATGAAAAGATGATTGCCAATGGTACACAATTGCTCAGGTTTCATGTTCAAAAGCATGCTTCTAGTATTTAATGAAGGGTGAACTTTCATGGAATAGAGTTCACTTTATCAGCAATGTATTATCCTCTGTGTAGAGTTCTTCATTATTATGCATCTGATAGAATGTCAGAGTTTAGAGTGTCATAATCTGTGAAAACTGATGCCACAATAAATCTCTTAGCCTTTATAGCTTCGAAATGTTGGTTTTGCTGTAGTGGAATAACACAGCTATGTGCCAGCAGTATTTCTTACTTGTTAGTTGCAGGGATTATTTTTTGTATCCTGCATACTCAGGTATATAATTTTAATAAATAAATTGAAAGTTAATTCATATTTTAAACCAGGATATACTGTGTTTACTTTGTGGAAGCCCATCTGTGGATAAACTGGCCCTCAAAATTTTCATGTTTTAATTTTCACCGTTTATCCGTGGATAATCCATGGATTATCCATTTTTCTTGGTATTTTGGTTAATAACATTTGAGAGAGTTTGTTGTACATTTGTTGATTTAGAGAAAGTTAAATTAATAATTTGAATTACGGAATGTTTTGCACAAATATGGAGTTGACCAGTATATGACAGAAATAAAATGTGTGTGAGCATAAATGGAATGGTTAGACAATGGAACAGATAATAAGACAAGAATGTGTGATGAACCTATGGCATGTCCTAAGTGTTGTGGGTGCCTGTGTTGCTCTTCCTTAGAACTGAAGTGTAATTCCAATTACTGAAGGGGAGTATGGTTTTGCTGCCATTTCTGAACCCTTTTCTGACTCAGAAATTCTTTTATTTTTCTCCTTTCTCTTTCTCTGTGATAAAAATGAGGTAGTGAGACTTGGTGGAATGTGAGAACTATACAGAACAGTACAGTTTTTTACTGTACTGTTTTAAAAAAATGAAGAATCAAATTAACATTTATTATATCAAAATGAGTTGTACATAGCTCCCTTTATCAAATTACAATTAGGTTCACTTCTTTAGAAGTGAACTTTTAACTCTTAATAGCAAAATGACTGTTAATAATTGATACTGTATAAACTGTAGGCTACTAATTTTTGTTTTCCCTGACAATAAATATCTGTTGCAGAACCAATCACTTTCACAGTTGCAGTCTTTTCCTAGGCTAGAACTCCAAACTTCTCTCAGCCTCATCCTTCTATTCATACTATCCCAAATCTTTCTTTCTACCTCTCATTTCCCGCAGCTTCTGGAATTTAAACTGGGAATTACTGCCTTAAATTACCATTCTTTGAGTGACAGTTCTACTGAGTCATCACAGTCCCCTTGGCTGTTTAATGATTTTATGAACAAAAGTATAAGAAATGCTTGTGGCGTTAGAAGTCTGTTGGTTGATGACAGGAATGTGCATGTACTTTTGTTGGCCAACAATGCTATATCGTTGGCTGAGAACCCAAATGATTTGCAGACAATGAATGTTAGATACAATTATATGATGTGATGCAGACTACGGATATCAGAATTCTTGTACCAAAAGAGTAAGGTAGTTGTGCTTGACAGGGAAAATTAAATGAATAATTGCAAGTTATACATAAATGGTAAAAAACTAAAGCAATTAGAGCAGGTATGGGAGAGCTAATTAGATTGGTGTACTCCAAGTGCTTAATGGATCCAGCTGGATTCCAGAGAGCATTTGGGGATGTTCTCAGCAATCTGGCAGATAGTACTGTTGAGTACTTGGTCAGCCTCTGGAATACAGAGGTGACCAAAGCATTCAATGAAATCATCACCCCAGAGTAAACACTGTCTGTGTGCCAATTCAAGGAAGCTCTTGTTTTACTGAGGAACTCTGGGACATGAAGTGGCAAAATATATATCCTGGAGTACTGGTGGAGAAAAACTAAGACATCTGAGCCTAAACCATAGTGATAAGAATGATTAAATGTACCTATTGCTCAGCTTGATTGCATCTGCAGGCTGCCCCTGCAGAACATTGTAGGGTGACCTAGGCCCTTTTGAGGGGTTGCAGTGAGATTTTGGGGCAGCGCTTCATGGATAAAATCCTGCTCTAGCCTTACTGTGCATGGACTGAGTCAGAGGAGTTGACCTGGATAGCATTTTACAGTGTTATCTGGCATTTGTTTCAGCTTGTTAATTCTGAGAAAATGAATACAGTGATATGTAATGGGCTAGATTCATACCCCATCATGCTGTGTATGAGAGAGAGGGATTGGATCCAGGAGATAGTCAACACCTCTTTGAGAGAAGTGGTTATGTCCTCCACCTTGAAGGAAGCAGTGGTGCATCCCTTCTTGAAGAGACCCTCCCTAGATCTGGCCAAACTTGGTAATTTTTTAGGGAAAGTTGTTGAAGGAGTGGTAGGGCTGTAATTATCAACTACCCTTAAGGAAGTAGATTATTTGAATCCTTTTCATTCAGTATTTAGGCCTGGCCATAATATGAAACCACATTGATAGCACTGGTGGATGACTTCCATCAACATCCAAATGGAGGGAGTGCACCTGTCCTGGTTCTTTTAGATCTCATGGTGGCTTTTGATATCAATGACCATGATAAATTGTCTGTGAGGGTTGGGAGTTGAGGATATTGTTCTGCAATGATTCTGTTCCTGAGTAAGTGGTATCATTCAGTATTAATAGGGGGGAAGAAGCCCTCCAGGTGGCTGCTCACTATGAGGTGCTGTGTAGTTTATCTTTTCCTCTCCCATACTATTTAACATCTAATGAAGCTGCTGGGAGAGGTCATCCATCAGTTTGGGGTGTAATATCATCTATCTACAGGTGATATCTAATTATACATTTCTAGCCTAGACTGAGCTGGGCATGCACGAGAAGTCCTAACCTAGTGTCTAGAAGCTGTTAGGGTCTGGTTGGGAAAAAACAAGCTGATACTGAATCCCTGTAAAATAGAGTACTGTACTGTTTATCCAGAAATCGTCTGGTACTTTGTTTCTATGTTTGAAGTTAACAAATAAAGGGAGATTAGCAAAGAAACAAGCCCAACTTGACATCTGTCATTACTTCCTGGAGCCTGCAGTGTGAAAAAAATAGAGCTTCTGTATTTAAAGGTCTTACACATTTCACAAGATTGTTGGAGTGGTATAGTGTAAAAACCCTCTCATTTTAGAATACTATTAAAGAGAAGTAGCACTAGTATAGCCCTCTTCTTTCCAAAGTAAAATAGCAGAGCTCTCCTCTCCTCTTTTCTATCTTCTTATAAGCTTGGAGAGAAGTTGGTGTCAAAGCTATTGAGGTGAAGAGGTGACAGATATAAAAAGAAGTCGTGAAATGAAGTGCTAATGGGCAGATCCTAAGAGATAAATAGCTGCTGTGATGGCTAGCTAGCAATGGGTGGGGGAAG